TCATACCTAGCCAATTGAAATTGGGGTAATGAGTGGATTCATATTGAACTGAGAAAAAAATATGCCCTACTGCTCTTTTAAGAGAAAATGTCTAAGAGTTTGGGGGTAAAAATGACTTATTTTTGGTTATTTAATGGCTCAGCCCAGTCTCCTTTGAAAAATAATGTATGAATCTATGATATTTATCCATTAGCTGAATCCAAACTATTGTAAAAACTCTCCTTTTAGAAAGTATATTATTTGAAAAAAAAGGATGACAGCTGCTGACTTATTTTGCAGCACTCCTGAGCTGGATGAAATGTATAAACAAAAAAAACCTAACCACAGCTGAATATTTTTAGTCCTTTGTGGGGACTACATATGAGGCTATTTAACTGAGAATGCCTCAAAAAGGATGATTTGACTGTTTCTGGTTAAGCTTCTGATGCAGGCTTTAAAAATGCAACAAAACTCAGACCTGAGGTTTGCGGGCAACAAACCAGAATTAGCTGTTTGCTAATACATGTGAGAAAGGGGCTGCAGGTTGTTACAACATTTTGGAGTTTTTTTTTGCTGGTTAACTTATGTAATACTGTTTGAAAAATGTTGTGAGCATTAAATCACATTCTGTTTTCTTTATTTACAGGAGACAATTCAGGAGGAAAAAAACCCCATGAAATGAAACAGCAAATTGTGAGCATCTGTGTGCACACCCCTGTGTGTCCTGGTACCACTGCTGGCACACTGGCTCCCAGGAGGAGTTTCAGTCACATCACAACTTTCAGTTCCTGTCCCTCTGTTTCTGCGTGGGGTCTGATGTTTATTCCCAGAGCTGCTGGTCCCCATCCCAGCACCCCAGCAGGCTCGTGGCAGGGATGTGACACTGGAATTGCAGGAGTTCTTTCCCCACCGCTGACTTGGAGCAGAGATTTTGGCGGCGAGGAGCTGGTGGGGCCGGCGGGGTCCCGGAGCTCTGCGGGAGCTGGACCCGAGGGATCCGCAGGGATTAACCCGTTCTGTGCCGTGCACCACGCAGGGCTGGCTCAGCCAGCTCTGCCGGGGTGGCTGCGGCTGGGGAGGGCACTCCGGGTGCTGGAATTGCCGAGATCCAGCCCATCCCCCGGCCCGTGTGAAACTGCACAAAGGCTCTCCTAAACGTGAATTTAAAACGCTTTCAAATTGACAGTCTCTTTTTAAATAAAAACATTTATGTTCAGCGAAAGGCATGTTTGCCTCTACAAATAAATGGAATTATGGTTCTAAGACCTGACTTAATCCTGAAGTTCTTAGACTGCACAGTAAGTAGAAAAGAAAGAGGATTGTTTGGAGGAGCAGGGGTTAGCAGGATCAGGCTCCATCTTACATCTTCCTGCTCATTTTCCTTCTGGCATTTAATATACCTTTCTCAGAACTACCACTGGCTGTTTATAACAAAGCCAAAGTAACTTCATGTCTATTTCCTAATTGAAAATAACGAGGGACGGTACACAGTGTGCCCATCCAGCTTTCCTGCTGGAAAAAAATGAGGATTGCTAAACAAACAAAAAATGCTCTTCCTCCAAATGTATTCTTATGGTAAAGTCATGTCCTTTTGAAATTAATTTCAGGGCTTCTTTCAAATGTGTTGTAATTCTTTGTTCTTTCTCCACACTGTTTTCTTTGTAAAAATGTATTTAAAAGTCTGCATGGAGGATTCAAAGAGTCTGAGAGAAGATATTTACAGAGTAATAATGCCATTTGTGTTTGTTATATTTCTTAAAATGGAATTTCTAATCAGACAACATTAAAATACTTTTGTATTATTTTTTGTGTGGTTTTATGACATTTTCATATTTCCAGCTCTGATTTTGGTACCTGTGTAGCCAGGCTAATTAGGAAAGCAGGATCATAAGTTTTATTGTTACTCCACCCAAGTCAATCTGTTCTATAACCCCACCTCTGGTCACGGTACTGTCTGAATCCAGTGATTTGGTTTTTATTATTTTTTTTCTGCTGAAGCCCTGAAGTACCTGTATTCCAAGTTGGGAGATTTCATATTCAGGACAGTAAAAGCTGAAAGAAGCCTGGGCAAGAAGAGAGATTTGTTGAGTAGATGCATTCAAACGAGTTTCTGCCAAAGACTAAAATGAAGACAATGAAATTTATTGTGGCAAACTTTACTGCGTGGACTGCAGAAGAACATCTACACAGAACTGGGCGTGCAACTCCCTGTCCCCTTGTCCCTCCCAGCACCTTCCTGAGGTTCCCTCTGTCCCACAGAACAAGGAACGGCTTTCTGCCAGCTCACCTGCCACAGGCCCTGGAGAGCCCCGGACACCTCCAGGGCTGCTGGGCTGACCCAGCTGGTGAGACCCCTCATTGCCATGGAGATTGGGTGGGCAGTGCTGCTCTGCAGAGCCCACATCCTGCCTGGTCCTTCCTGCCCGCTCGCCGAGGGTGGGCTTGGGTACACATCACTTGTTGGAAACAAATTTATTGGCTGTGGTGCCTGGTTTTTGTGCACAAGGACAAATTGAGCCAGAAATCCAGGGGATTTCCAAACTGAAACTCCACCCCATTGCAGGGTCTGGCTCTTGCTGTAACTCTGAAGTGGAAGCAACTGTCTGTTGTCATATAAAGCAGTGTTTTAATGTTTTGCCACTGAAAATTTTCAAAAGAAACATTTAGATTAAAAAAAAAAAAGAAAGTGGCTTTCCCCCCCCCCATGAACATGCAGCATGAAACATTTTAGCCAGTTCCAGGTTAAACCCAGCTCACTTTATCTTTTTAGATTCAAATTTAAACTAGTTTCTATTCAAAGTTTTTAAAGGGACACACACAACGTCATTCTTCAGCGTGACATTTGAGTCTCACCCCCTGCCAGGAGGGATACCTTAACCTCCCTGTTACTGAAAAGACCAGAGACAGAAAAATAGCTTGTTTTTTTTTTTTTGTACATCCCTTCACATGGCCACTTGCTACTACTTGGAGTAAAGTGAGTTCATTGTAACTCCTCTCTTTTGTGTTCCACCTTCAGTTTGTATGGGACTTTATGTAGCTGTACAGGCATGGACACAGGAAAAATGAAAAAGCAATTTCTGTCTGCCCTCAGGATAAACACAACGTGGATTATGAGGGCAGCATGGACTAGACACGGTGAGACTAAATGAAAAAAAAAAAAGGATTGTTTTGTAGGTGATTTTGGGGACCATCAGTTTATTAATGTCTCCCCAAAAAGAAATACTAAAAAGTCAGGTTAAACCATCCCTATGTGTCAGTGAATCTGTACTACAGACTGTTTTTGCAGGAAATGCTCCAAACATAGCTCTGAAATTGATGTAGATAAATCTGAAAATATTTTTCACATAAGTTTTTGAAAGCAGAAATCAAGGAAGAGTTTTTATTTATTTGTTTGTTTTGTGACAGGGAAACAGACCACAGGTATGCAAAACAAATATATTAAAGTGCTCCCTACATATCTCCCTATCTTTCTCAAGCCATTCCAACCAAAAGCTTTTGTAAGCATGTGGGGGCAGCACTGACCTTTTAATTCTGTTTACATGATGACTAGAAAAAAGAAATCCCTGGTCGAGGAGGGCCTGAACTCGTGGGAGCTGCCTCAAGACGTTTAACCAGCTCTGTCTGGAGGTGTTTCTGCAGGCAGCAGCCCTGGCACGGCACCTGCGGGGCTGCCACTGGCCAGGGGAGAACAGGGACACTGACACTTGGCCCAGGAGCCTTAGGAGAGGGACAGCGATCTGTCCTGTGCCTGGGCAGGACCTCAGGGCTTAAGCTGGCTCAGAAGCTTCTCAGACAGTTTGGTTTGTGGCAGCACCAGAGCCCAGCACCGGGACTGGTGGTTGGGCTGTGGGTCCTGGGGTGCTCTCAGCAGGCTGAGGAGTTTGGGGGATGCTCACTGCATCCAGAGCGACCTGTGGGGCTGCCCCAGGCTCAGGGCAGTGCCTCTAGGCTGGAAGCACGGAGGTTTGCAAGACGAATCTTTTGGAAGCACCCTGTGATGCACCACCACCCACTTACCACCAACCATCCCCGGCTGTGCCAGGCCCGGTGCCCGGAGGAGAATCCCAGTGTCCCCCGGCAGGGAAACACCCGGTGACCCTGGGGAAAATCCCCGTGCCCCGCTGGCAGGAACACACCCGGTGGCCCCGGAGAAGATTCCCTGTGCCCCCCTGGCAGGGACACGCCCGGTGCCCCGGGGCTCGGCACGGGGGGCTCTGTGGCCTGGCTGGTCTCTGCTCCCCTCACGCCCCCCGCCGGGGTTGGAGCTCACTTCCCCATGGTTTCACTCCCCAAAGCAGATTGTGTGGGAACCTCTCCCCCAAGGGACATCTGGACCTGTGCTGCAAACCCAAGTGAAAGGAGGGTGAGGATGCGGAGGTAATGCCCAGCAGCAAGGGAAAAAGAGGGAAAGACAACATCGCACTTGTGAGGTAAGGGATTGCAAGGCAGTCCGTGGGCAGGCAGGAGTGGGGCCATGCTGGTCTCTGTCCTATGGGTCTAACAGCAGCCTTCAACACATACATGCTTCTTCTTCCTTTATTTTCCCCCCTCTTTTATTTTTAGTTTTGTATTAAAAAAAAAAAATTATTTCTGAGACACTTGCTCCTACATCAGACAAAGATAGGGAGACGCAAACCCTCCTCAGAGATGTGATCCTGTGTGGTGCTGAGCCACTGGACAGAGCCAGCCCATGCTCACCGGTGCCATCGGTGCTGGGGGAATTAAGGGCATTTCACAGCTTTCAGGCACAGAAACAAATTGTAAACTGCAGTGTTGCATCCATGTGTGAACACACACACACAGACACAGAGACACACAGAATGCCGCCAGCAGCTGATGCTTCACACTAATCACTCTTATAAATGCCTCTAATTAGACTTATAAATACTTCTAACTTTCCAACAGGGAACAAAATGCCCAGCGGGCTTCATGTAAACTGGAAAAAAAAAAAAAAGTTAAAAAGACGAGTAGAAGCAGTTTTTAAAGGTGGCAAATCCTCCAGCAGCACTCGAGACCCCGAGATGGCAGAGCCCCGCGGCCGGAGCCCCCCAGGCTGCGGGAGGAGGGGAGCGCAGCCGGGCGGAGCGGGGGCAGCGCCGGGGAGGGGCCGCAGCCCCCGGCCTTTGTGGCCGGAGGGGGAACATCGGGACCCTGCGGAGAGGGAACACAGAAACCCTCCCGGCGGCGAGAAATGGGCCCGGACAAAAGCCCGTTACGCGGTTGCAAATCACCCCGCTGCTGTTATTTTATTTACCGCTGCCCGCGGGAGGATTGTTTGCTCCCGCAAAATTTTAAGCTTCCCCCCCACCACCGCCTCCCCTCTTCCTTCCTTTGCCCCTCGCTGCTGCCAGCAGCGGTCCCTGGTCCCACAGTGCCGCGTACAGCCCGGACCCACCTGCGCTCCCGGCCGGGGGGGCTGCGGCTGGGCCTCCCACCATTCCCGTTTGGATGGAAAAATAGACCCTTGGAAACAGCCCATGAAAGGCTCATTTTGATGTCGGGGTGAGGAGCACAGCCCAGCCAAGCCACCCTGTGTGTTTGCTGCTGACGGGCAGAGGCTCTCGCTCCCCCACGGCGTTCCCTGCTGCGACAGGAAAAACTTCCAGTGGTTATCAGGAAACTTTTTTCATTTATCCTTTTTTTTTTCCAAAGGATCTCTGTATTATTTTTTGAGGGTGCAAGACAGAAGAATAAAGGCCTCTGGAGCGCCACATTTATTTCTTGGATATTTGTTTGGAAGATAAATTTCCCTTTCAGGGACTGCAGGCCCAGGGAGCCCCAGTCACTTTCCCCATCCTATTAGGCAGGTGAAGCTTAGGACTTCGGGATTTTAACAACCACGGTGAATGCTAGTCCTCCGTAAAAACAACCTGTAGACTTTTATGCTTTGCAAAGGTACTAATATGGACAGGGTGGTTCCTCCACCTTCACCTTTAGGATCTGTAAAACATAATTTTGCATGTTAGGTGCTGGAAGGAAGGAAGGAAGGAAGGAAGGAGCTGTAGATGTTATTTGTGGTGATGTCTTTGCCATGGGGGGCACATGGGGAGCCCCAGGGAGGTCCAGCTGCCCCAGTCCCCTCTCAGCTGAGAGCTGAGCTCTCCCTGCTCTGACAGGTATTTACAAGGGGGTTGAACAGGTAATTAGCGCCCAATCCTGGCTGCGGGAAACCCTCCTGGTCATCCCGCCCAGCACGGGCAGTGACGGGAGCGCTGATTTTCGACGGCTGATTGAGCCTGAACAAAGGCCCCAAACAGCACCGAGTGCCCGGCTCGGGGATGGTAACTTTAGAGCCAATGGGCTCCTTTCCCATCAGTTTAAAGCAGTGTTATTTTTTTCCAAGCTGATAACATTTTAAACATATTGCAAGATGGAATTTTCCTGGGAAGAGGGAAACCCTTGAATTTGTTATGAAAGAAACTCCTGTGAATATGGAAACCCGTTCTGTGAATTCACCTGTTGCCAGCCAAGGAGAAATGTTTGGTGTTTTATTTCAATCAAGAATTTGCTGTGTATCTGGTGCTTTATCTAACCTCACTCTCCAAAAGATTTCATGTTATGCTTGGCAGAGCTCTCAGGCTCAAGCTGCTTTATTATGCTGTGCTCTACAAGTTTTAACATTTTAGACCGATAGTAGTGAGGGAATAAAAATATAGCCTGAAATCTTCACAGAATGGATAAGGTGTGTTCCATGTGGCCCAAATGGGTCTTGAACTTTTTAATCAGGTGTTTACACAAGCACTTGATGCCATTGAAAAAAATAAACCTCACCACTCTTCTTCTATAAGCAAAGTCTTAGGAGTGAGCACAATCTGTGGCTATCAGGAGATCATTTCTGGCCATGACCAGCAACTACATCACCTGCATGTCTTTCTCTGCAGGTGCAGAAACCCAACAAATCCCATGTTAGCAGTCTCCAGCTGAGGAAATTTGCCATGGCGCTGTTAGTATAAAACTCTTCCATATCCTCAGTGCTGGTTTAAACTCTCGGTTCAGTGCAGTTCTCCTGAAGTTTGAGCAATCCAGCTAACTTAGGTGAAACACCAGAGTGGACAATGGCAGGCTGAGCCATTTGCCACACCCCCATTTTATCAAGCCTTGTCTCCCAGCCTTTATTTTTAACTTTATACAGAGATGTCCTGTAGCAGAAGAATTTGATGGGGAGTCTCAGCTCCTCAGTATCTGTTTAATGCCATTATCTACATCAATCAGCATCTGCAGTCCTGACCACTTTTTCAGCCCACTGCATTTGAGGCGGTCACTCCCAGGTGGGGTGAGGTGGGTGTTCAAACACATGCCCATGCTTTGGCCATTTCTTCATTTGTTTTTCACAAATATGAAGTGTTGAACTGTACCATTTGGGGCTACCCTTTGCCTTAGGGGGCAGCAGCTGCCAAGGAAGGTGCAACCTCAGCTGGCTCTGGGCAAAACCTCTGGCATTATCCCAGCTGGAGCCACTCCTGCTGTGTTTGTCATAGCATTGGGGCTGCCCATACACAAAACAAATTAGGAGTAGTGCAATTCACTGGTCAGTGATGGACATGGCCCAGTTAGAACCTCTAACTATGTATCATTACATCTTGAGCACAAGGGGTAGGATTTTATTCTTACAGAGTTGAATGTTTGGGCCTGACAACAATCATCACCTGAGTGCATCAGCTAAAGCTGCAAATAGGAACATTTTCTGCAGTGAAGACCCTAATCTAATGTTATTGCATCCCAGCTGTGATTTGTTTTGAGAATATTCATAACACCTGCTTGCTTGTAGTCACTCTGTCTGGGTCTGGTGGGAACTCAACACTTGCTGTGTCTCACAGGAAGGTTTTAAATATCTCGCTGAAAGCTCCTGGACCTGGGCTCCTGGTTCTCTCTCTGCAGAGCACACTTTAGCTTTGGATGTACCTTTAAAGACTTTAAACAGCTTGAGACCTGTAGCTTACTGCAGGAGCTTAGAAGAAATTCCTGTTTCTGGGTTTTAAAACCTGAGCTGGAGTACAAGAGCCCTTCTCAGAAAGGTAAGGAAAGGTGTAACAAGGTCATTTTGAACCACATACATTCAGGTTGTACTTTCAAAGTCAATTCTAAATTTAATTGAAAGCTGAGGGCAAGGGAGGAAGGGTAGCACTGATGTGCTGGCTTATTTTGAGGCATGTGAGGAGCTGTGCTGTTGAATGCTCGATGAGCTGCAGTCTTAATAAAATGGCATTGGGCAAGTTGGCAGGGAGAGGGGCTGGGTGAGCTGAAGGAGGAATTTTGGGGTGGTGCCTGGTGATGTCTCTCTGTGCAGGCATTCCCTAGGGTCTGGTGTTTTCTCAAGCTGATGGCAGTGCTTGACCATGTGAATGATGTTGATGAAGTTTCCTGTTTGACCAAAACCTTCAAAATAGTTTTGTGGGGAATTTATTGTGCTGGAAAAGTGATGAATGAACAGAACCAACCAGATATGGCTGTTTGAAAATGGAACTGGAAAAGGGAATAATTTCACTGAATTTTTGTGCAGCTTAATAAAACTTCTCCCTTCCATTTCTGAGATGCTCAGGGAATACACTGGACAGAAAGAGGTGACGAGGCTTTGCCCTTGTTATGGTTGGAGATGCTGAGGAGTGCAGTGCTGTGCCTCAGATCATCCACAGGCCAGGAGCAGCCTGAAAAGGTTCTCCTGCTGAGGCTTTTTTAAGCAATAATAGCTGATACTGATCTGACAGAAGAGAATCTACTAAAGGAATTATGGTTCTTGGTGGTATCAACAAATATTCCCTTCACTAGTTGTTTTATACCAGAGTAATAATCTCTGCAAATTTACCTCCCTTTGCCAAAGGAACTGCTCGGGCAGTGCTTGTGTTCATTCCAGCCAGGTGCATCCAGACTGGTCTCTGAGCTCCACTGCTCCAGTCCATGCCATGCTCAAGGTGGAGCTTTTCCTCTTCTCTGGAACTGTGTCTTTTCCCCCTTAGTCTCCCTATTTGAAAGAGGGAAGTAATGTTACTCATGGTGGCTTTATTGGCTGACAAAAACTTCTTGTGTTCTGTAGAAAAAGATGAACATTGTGGTCTTTTCTGCACGAGTTTGTGGTTGCTTCAACTGCCCCTCTGGGCTAATCCATGGCTAAGCACTGGACCACAATATAAAGCCTTGCTCTACTGGAATGTGAAACAGAAGTTGCTTAGAAGTTTGATGGATAAGAACCAAAACCCTGAAGAGAAATCTATCTTATGGCTTTCACTTTAAACTCTTGCTATGTACAGCTGTCAGCTATTACATTTATTAAGTTCCTTAGGGTCTAGGAAATAATGTATTTAGAAGTGTGGTGATATCAATTTTTTTACTGTGATTTTACCAGCAAATTTCCTGTTCTCTCTGTTATTTAAAAATGAGAAATACGTGGAATTCATAAAGGATGTTTTCTAAGTCATAAGGTAAATATTTTTAATCTGTGCACCACAGACATGCAGTTACTCTCCATTTGAGTGCAGTCTTTGCTTTTTTATTTCAGAAATGCCCTGAACAGCCACCACCCACCCATCCCAAAAGTAGACTGCTGTTGTCTCCTCTAGTTTGAAGCTTCTGAAAGCTGTTTCCCAAGACAATCTCATTATTTGTGGAAGATAATTAGTCCTTTCACCTGCATTACATATTAATTCTCAGTCTATTTAAGAGGAAATTTGTATGAGCTGTTAGTCATGTGTTGACCACTTGCACCATGTCCAGACCCAAATAATGGAGAATTAGCTGAAATGCACCAGGCTTTTAAAGCACAGGTTTTTACACCAGAAATGAAATTGCCCTGAGCACAAAGATTTTGTGCTGGATGTTCCTAGACATTGATAAAAAGGGATAGGAATATGATCTCTCCTGTCATAATTCCTGAAATATTTTGCATCTTCTTGCAAAAGTTTTGCTTGTATATTTTTTCTTTTGGAGCTGCAGTTCCTCCATTAACATTCTTAGTGCAGGTTTTTTGTTTTTTGTGGTTTTTTTCCTTACCTGTGTTGCTTCCCCATTATATTTGTAAAACAAAGCCCTACTATTCTAATTCAGCAATATAGAAAATTACACTAAATAGATATTTGAAACTGGCTTTTTTGGGCAGCTCTTAGTGTTATCACTCTCTAAAATGAAAAATGCAGTTGAAATAAGTATTCTGACTTGTCTGTTGTTGATCCAGCTGCTCTAATTACTTTGCCCTGGGAAAGGTCACAATATTTGGTTTTTTATGGTTTTCTTCTAGCAGTGATTTGACTTTATCTGTTTTCCATACCCTTCAAATTATTTACAGTTATAATAACTCAGGATAATGGCATGGGGCTTGTCCCTGTTGCACTGTAGTCACTGGAAGCCAGAAGTGTGTCTGCAGGGTTATCCTGCAGCCAGAAAGGCACCCAGATGTGAAGACAACCACGCTTATCTTTGTGAAATTCATCTTGCTGTTATCAGTCTTGAAAATCAAATTAGTCCAATTCTGCACTTTCAGAACATATTCCTGTGAGCTTCTGATTAATGAAGTATATTGTTATCCTGGAAACAGAGGGGCATGTTTCTGTTCTTCCTGAAGTATTTAAATGCAGGTATGAATATTTTGGAAGAACTGAAGACAGCTTAGACTATGACTTTTTTTTTTTCCCATAAACCATAAATCATTATAACAAGATTAGCCTTTTACTACCCCTCTCCCAATTTCTCCCTAAGGCAGGTTTTATTGTCATTTTTGGGCAGAGCTGTCATGTAAAATCCTCTGCTCTTCATCTTGCTAATGTATATGCTTAATCATCTGTATTTGAAGTTTGGAATATGAATTAAGGGAATATTTAACTCTGTTGAATAAGTGAAGTTACCCAGTGGTACCACTGATGTAACATTTCTGTTGATCCTTTTCTTTTCTTGTGATCCAATACTGCTTAAATCAGAATAAATTAATTTGTGTCATACTTTAATTAATATGTTTTTCAGTGACTAAATATGCAATTTTCAGGGTCCTGGTGACCTAACCAGGAGGAAGTGTTTTCTTTATCTTCAGAAAATGCCTATGAGATTCCATATTCTACTAATTAAATAAAATAGTCTAGTATGTTTATTTGAAAAAAATATCTTCAGTAAATAAGATTTGGCAGTGTTCTTGGCAGTAGTTAAGTATCTGCTTAAAGCTGTAGTGCTACTTGAGCTAGAGAACAGCTGAACTGGGCAGAGGATCAAGGGAGCTGTGAACCAAACTTTCCACAGCCATGGTTGTGTGGTTGGCTTTTTTAGAGGGGGAGGTTAAAGGAGGGTGGGAACCAGGTTTCGTTGTCTTCTAAAACACCTGAAAGCTATAAATGAGTTGGCCCCAAATTCGTGTTTGTTTCTAGGGTTCAGAGGAACTGATCCAGGTTGTGTCTGGCTGCTGATTTGGCCCTTGCAACCAGCTAGCACAGGTGGAAAATATTGTCTGAAGGAAAACTATTTTTGTCTCCTGTGGGTGTTACAGCCTGACAGAACGTGATGGTTGTGCTGTGTGGTTGTGAGGAGCAGGGAAGGTGGCTCTGCCCACAGAGAGCTGAGCCAAGCAAGGAACTTGCATATGGGCTCAGTGCCTTGATGCTTCACAATCACCTACAGGCAAATTTGAATTTTAGATTAATAAATCAGGTTTTCAGGATTCCTTGCTTTTATGATGCACAGTGGGGAAAATCCTGAAGAGATTTCTTTCAATTCTTTTGATGTTGTGTTGGTACCCACCATGTCACCTCAGTTTATTCTATGTGGTGAAATGGTGGAACAACTTACAAGGAAGTAAAAACTTGGAATCAAAGCTGTGATGTGAACCAATAGCTATTCCATGCATGCTCTTCTGATCCAGCAAAGGATTAAGGATTGTTTCTCCATTTGAAAAATATCAGCATATTGCATTAATTTTACAAGTAAGAATTTTGGATTTGCCAATTAATAACAAGGATTGTTCCTCCATTTGAAAAATATCAGCATGACTAATTGCATTAATTTTACAAGTAAGAATTTTGGATTTGCCAATTAATAAAGCACTACCAATTAAGGTAATGCCAGACATCTAGGATGGACTGCCTATGGTTTGTAGGGCATCTGTATCCCTTCATTACTTGTGGAATTTTATTTTTTTTTGGTAATAAGTGCTGTGAGCTTTTCTTTGGTTTTCTAGTCTCTGATACTGCCAAGCTAATTAATATTTGCAGTGTTCTTTAACTATCAAATGGGGTTGCAATCATAAGCACATTCTTAAACCTCTTAGTGCTGAAAGGAAGACCTAAATAACTTTTAAATCTGTGAGACAATGTCAAGAAATGTACTTGCTTAAATTTAATCCATCACTTTGTGCCAGCAACACATACAGCTGAAAGGTCAGAGAATCATTGAGAGGGAGAAAAACAATTAATTTGGTATCAAAAAGGTAATAGGATAAGGCCTTGCCAACCCTCTGCTATTGTTCTGCTGCATTAACTTCGGCAGGTCAGATGCCACTGGTCGTTGACCTCAGGCTAAACAGGGTCAGCCCAGGCTGATTACAAAAGAGATGTGTTTGCACTTATCCAAGTGTCTCTTAAAAAACCTGAAGTCGCATCTGTGTTGTTCCTGGGGAGGAACACACAGAGGGTAAACGTTTTTCAATGAAAATATCATTTCGAGAATCTTCTGCATGAAGAATGGTGTCCTCAACATGACATGGCTCCTGTGTATGAGTCCTTCCCACCACTGGGACAGGTTGTGGCCCCACACCTGGCAGTAGGTGTGTGCTAGAGAACTGGTGAGGCACTGGGAAAACCTGCTATGAAAAGAAGCAGTGGAAAACAGTTGTATTTTTTTCTCAACTCTGCTGCACACATTGTAGAAGGTCTGTTCCAAGAGGAGCTGCTGATGTTAATAAAAGAAAAGGTGTCAGTAAGTTTAAATAACTCTCCTGTAGGGGGGAGGAAAAGGTCCTGAAATCTTTTATGCCTAAAAAAAATGTTTTTATGCAAGTATTCAGTAAACCTCATGAGTGTAGTGGGTGAGATCTAGGCATCATCAT